TTTTTTCCCAGATTTTCCGGGATTTTTCCCGGATTTATTCCCGGATTCCCCTCACCGTTTCATGGTGAGCAGCCGGGAGTCCAGGCTGTGCTGCCATTTCCCCATCCCATTCCCTGGCTGTTTATTCCCGGATTTTTTCCCAGATTTTATCCTGGATTTTCCCGGGATTTTTCCCGGATTTTTTCCCAGATTTATTCCCAGATTCCCCTCACCGTTTCATGGTGAGCAGCCGGGAGTCGAGGCTCTCCTGCCGGCCGCGCATGGCGTGCATGTCGGCCAGGAGCCGCGCCACGCTGTCCTGCCGCAGCCGCGCCTCCTCCGGCCGCAGCGGCGGCACCTGCAACGGGAAAAAACGGGAAAAAAAACGGGAAAAACGGGAATTCCACACCCGAGAAACACCCCACAACTTTGCAGCACTTTTGGGGATTTTTTTCCGATTTTTTTGATTTTTCTCAAACGTTTTCAGGGGTTTTTTTTTGATTTTTAGAGAATTGTTGGGGGTTTCTTTGGAATTGTTTTGGGGATATTTTTGGGGGGTTTGGGCTGTCCTGCCGCAGCCGCGCCTCCTCCGGCCGCAGCGGCGGCACCGAAAACGGGGAAAAAAATGGGAAAAACGGGAAAATCTGGAAAAATCGGGAAAAACGGAAAATCCGGATCTAGGAAACACTCGGGAATTTTGGGGATTTTTTTTCCAAAATTTTTTTTTATTTTTTCCAATTTTTTTCTGCTTTTTTTTCTGGTTTTTAATCAACGTTTCTGGGATTTTTTTTGCCAATTTTCCTCAAACCATTTTTCCCATTTCTGGGGAATTTTTGGGGATTTTTTTAAATACTTTTTTATAATTTTGGGGGGATTTTTTTGGGTGATTTTTACAAATCCATTTTTACCATTCCTGAGAAATTTTTCGTGATATTTTGGGGGAATTTTTTCATGGATATTTTTATACTTTTCTGTAATTTTGGGGCGGATTTTTTTTGGGTTTTTTTTACAGAATAATCTCGATTTTTCCCGATTTTTGGGGGGATTTTTTTGCCGATTTTTCTCAAACCATTTTTCCCATTTCTGGAGAATTTTTTTTGGGTGTTTTTTGCGAATTTTTTGGGGGGATTTTTTTTTTGTTTTTTTAACAGAATAATTCTGATTTTTTTTCCGATTTTTGGGGGATTTTTTTTTTGGTTTTTTTACAGAATAATTCCGATTTTTTCCAGATTTTTTCGGGGATTTTTTTGCTGAATTTCCCGATTTTTTAGGGATTTTTTTTGCCCATTTTCCCCGAGCCGTTTTTCCCAAATTCGGGCGTTTTTTGGGTTTATTTCCGGGGATTTTGGGCACACTGACGCCGGTGACTTTGCGTTTGATGTTCTCCAGGAGCCGCTCCTGGAAGGATTTGTACAAACCCAATTCTGGTGATTTTTTAAGGGAATTTTTGCCCATTTTCCCCGAGCCGTTTTTCCCAAATTCGGGCGTTTTTTGGGGTGATTTTGGGGGATTTTGGGCGCACTGACGCCGGTGACTTTGCGTTTGATGTTCTCCAGGAGCCGCTCCTGGCCGCGCAGGAAGAACGGGTGCTGGAACTCGGTGTCGTCCTTCTCCGGCTTCACCAGCCCGCCCTGCTCCAGGTGCAGAACCTTCCGGAATCCGTCTGGAATGGGGCGAAAAACGGGAAAAATGGGAAAAATGGGAAAAAACGGGAATTATGGGGAAAAAACGGCGAAAAAATGGGGGAAAACGGCGAAAAAACGGGGAAAAATGGGAATAAAAAGGGAATAAAAAGGGT